CTCCAAGTGCAGTCGATGTCGCTGGCGCTGTTGTTTGTTTGACTCTCTGTGGTTGCCCAACGCAGAAATGTTGTTTTGACGGGGCCAAACGCCGAGACATCGAGAGAAGTGGCAGAGGGCCTTGGAAATGTGTGGGTTTTCCGGGTGGGGTTGGGTTGGAGTTGAGCTAAAATAAAATGCCATAAAATTCAGAAACGGGAACCCGGGACAGAAGTCAAATGCCAAGTGCTTTCAGTTTTTCCTGCTCCTGTTCCTGCTGCTTTTCCTGCTCATCTTTTTGCTGAATGCTGATGATTCATAATGGGCAAACTATGCGTAATGGGGAGCATACTATATTTAAATACTGAGCGCCACATAACATTTAAACAGTTAAATATGATTTAAAAGCTGTCAGCTGAACAATAATCACACTTATCTGAACGGTTTTATACACCTTTATTGCCGCCTGATTTGTACTTAAGAGTCAAGAGTTATGCATGTTTGCCCCCTTTTTCTTTTGTTTTTGGGGCGACCCCGGACATAAATAATAATGCATGTCAAAATCAGATGATTTACGCTGCTTTGATGGCATTTTTCATTTTCATAATTTGTTGCCAACTGGAGCGCACAAATATCTGGCTCTGTCTTATCAAAATTGCCTTTTCACTCCCCTTTGACACTCCCCATTTTTTGTGTGGGTGTTTCAGTCAACAAAAAAGGGGAGAAAGAAATTATTTGTAAAAACTTTTACTGCCTGAAAATTAAGTTAGCTAAAGTGTGTGTCTGTTTGGAGGTGTGAACGCATTCAAGTTGAATTATGGGCTGCTTATAACTTTTGCTTTATTTGAAAAACTACAGAACTCATTATTCATTAATTGGATTTCTCTTTTCTCCATTCTCGTTTACAGGTGAATGCACAAAGTATCAAAAATAAATTTGATAATGGGAAAATTATGATGATAAATGGGCAAAATACATTCTCTCAAAGTTTTACGTAATTTGGGTAATTTTATAAAAGATAAATTTTATTATCAAAATGTCTGTTCGCCCTTCTTATTTTAAGTTTTAATGGCTTTTTGAAAAATGCTTTAAATTCCTCTTCTTTCTATGAAATGGAACATAAAAAATACATAAAATCCAATCGAATCATTGAATATTGTATACCACCAAAACGATAAATAACAAAATGTGTGACAGATACTCATTTCAAATTCCATTTTCATCAAATATAAATCAACAAAATGTAATCCCCTCTTTTTGGAAAGGTTCATCCTCCCACTTTACGCCCCTTTTATTTGCATGTGCCAATTTAAATTTGCATTCCGGTTAGCTAAACTTTTTAGAGTGTTTTCCTTGCTAACGCGCCACTAAGTATGCACTTGTTATTGCGGTTGCCTGTCATTATCCCCGATAAAATTATGCGACACATAAATCGACGTCAACAGCAATTAACACATTCTGAAATTGACATAAATTTGATCAAATCGAAATAAAACCCGTTTCTTTTTTTGAGGTACGCTTTGCGATAAGTTTTGTTATTATTATTGTACACGTTTATTTATGAAGCTTTATACGTTAGGCGAAAAATTCAATTAACAGCCTAAACGTGGGCAGGCGCCAGTCGTTCAAGTCATGCGTGGGATGCAACTGCAAAATGCCACTGCAAAATGCAGCCAAAAATGCAACTGCATTTTCCAGCTGCCCCAGACGAGTTGCATAATCCAGCCTGAACCAAACCCACTTGGACTGATATGCAAAAAAATAGCTTGATAATGATGAAAACTCAACTCTCTCTTTTGCCGGACAAATTTTCATTCAAAATTATCAGTGGCAAAATACAGACTTATTTCCATAACTTGAATTTTTCTAAGTCAGACAATATTTATTGACGATTATAAGAAAACATGTCTTTTAAAGTGAAAATTATATTAGAAGCATATCTCTTTTATTTGTTAATTGATGTTAACTATTTAATCAATTTAAATAATAATGTAAAACTAAGTTAACCCTATAGCCTCCGTAACTTTTATAGAACTACAAAACGTGAAAATCTTTTAACTCATTGATTGATAAACTTATTTTCTTCTCTGTCTCCTTAATTTGATGTTGTTTGATACAAATTGGAGGTTTGAGTTAAGGGATTCTGTCTGAGCATACAAATTATGGAAAATGTTCCATCAAATTAGAGCTGTCAACTCTGGCAGAAGATAAATTGAAATGTTTCCGAACTTTTTCACTTAAATCATGGCAGATAAATTGTGGATATCCAAACAGCTGACTACTCTGACTCAGACAATGACAAATAAATTCAATGCCAGACGCTTCCCTCACTTTGCATATAATATAGTACATACCTCAACAAACCAATTTGAGTCCCAGACCACGTACTTGGCGCGTTGTTCCTGCCGCTTCCTTTATTTCCAGCAACTTAAGTTGCCAATATTAAACGCTTCGATGGATTTTATGGAGCATAAACAGGAAATTTGAAGAAGAATGTCCAATTTGCCATAGCCAAAAGCGAAACAAAGTGAGGCGGCGAACGGAAAGAAGAACTAAGAAAAGGGAAAGAAAGTCTGGCCCAAGGATTGGCATTTTCTTTTGTCACTTGCAGGAAACTCTCCATGGCAAATTGGCATTAGGAAAAGCGGGTTGAAATACAAGAAGGCACAAAACTGTTGAAATTACTCCCGTTCTTCCTATGTCCAGCTGTCGTATTTTCCCTTTGCTGTCATTGTGTTGTGTGCGGTCGCTGCAGAAACCATAAAACATTAATTTCAATTGGAACTGCTGCCAAAGAAAGGATGGGATGGGATAGGATAGGATAGGATCCATCCAAACGGCTATTCCACACACATGTAACCCGAGTGCAAAATGAACTATAATGCTGAAGTTTATGTTCATCTACAGCTGAGGTCAAAACAATACAACCAAAACTGCAAATTTTAATTTGACTCCACCTTTTCTTCAATTAAAATTTAAGTGGGTCTACATTTTTTTTTAGATAATTGTATAAATATTTTGAAGTTCTCTACAACTGAATGATTTTTAAAATACATTATTAGATATTTAAATGTTTCTGTATTACTTTTGAAACCATTGAAATATTAGACTGAGTCATCTAAATTATTTTCGCATAATTAACTTTTCATGCTCACTCATAGATGAGAGGAATATAATGCTAACCACAAAACAATTTTAAACATTGTTAATATTCGGAAAAGAAAAAAACTTTTATTTTGACCGCAGCTGTACATACACGAGCGGGCGGACGTAATATGAAATTAATTTGTTAGGCAACCACCGACAGCATAAACGGTAACCGAAACAACAAATACCGCTTGGGAAAAGTTGCAGACCGCAGCAGCTGTTGGAAAAGACAAACAACAACAGGACGCAGCATATGTTAATTAAAGAAGTGTTCGTTTCCACAACTCAATCGACTTTCACATTGCATTTTGGCTCTAATCAAAGCAGCAGACAGTGACTTAACGAAATCTTGAATATGCATTTCGCTTCGTGACATTGCCGCAATGTGTCAAAATCTGTCAGCGGCACTTAACCTGCACATAAGTCAGTGTCAGGCGGGCAGACCATAATTTTAAATTTTCTGGATATTTTTGGAGAGTGCTTCCGACACCCACAACCAGCAGCTGCTGTTAACTTCCGCTTAATTTTGATTCAATTGTACAAATATACATACGTTTAACTTCTGAAGGCAAACTTTCTTCTTAAATCCTCGTCACTTGACTTGGACAAATCGAAGTTGATTCCTGGCTAGATCCCCCAGGAATCGACATCTGGTCGCTGGGACATCTGTCAGTGTTTTCTTCGTCTACTTTCAAGGGGGTGTGGTCTTCGATGTGCACTAAAGAACCATTCAAAACATGCCCAAGCGATTGTAAAATGCTAATAATAATTGGAAAAACTCGCCTCTACAAAGACTCGCCGGGTACTTCCTGTAGGAGGTAACGCATATGCTTTCGATAAATCATAAATTTATATTCTCCAGCGCTCTTTGACACTACGATTTATACTCGATTCTCGGGGAGCGGCCCTCTTTTTTACGGATCCAAGAAAACATCAAACGAGGGGCAGGAAAATATGCGTTGTGCACTACAGCCGCATCCGACTGTGAAATACATGGATCAATTTGAAAGTTTAACAACTGGCCATTAGCACTGGGGAGAACTATTTCTCATTTCCATCGTTCTCATTTCGCTTTGAGACCATAAAATATGGAACATGAAATGAAATCCATATTTTTACTGCCAGGGGATTATGGTTTGTCAAAGCGCAGCGATGCATAAGTTTATAGAGCAGACTAGAAAAAAGAAAACAGAGGCCAAAAAGGGATATTTACACAAACTAACTGTGGCACACGTGCCCGGAAGAAAACCTCCCTTCAAAACGGGAAATTGGCATAGGGCCCGGATAATTATGAGTCTCGGAAAATGCATTTTAATCTTTCGCCCTGCAATCCCATCACTGAATCACCCAGCCATGACTGGGAAATTGATTTTCCCGTTAAAAATGACACAAAATATCCAGGTCGGGATGAATAGAAGAATCGCAATAAAACGGATTCGTGCACACAAAAAAAATGTATAAATTGGAACTCCAAATAATATAAATTTATTAATTTATTGAGCTGACATTTAACATTTTTGCCAAATTTTAAAATATGAAGATTTAAGATATTCAAAATGTGGACAAGCAATTACCCCAGTTCAATGGTACCACAACCATGGATAGGTCCAAAATTGGACTGCTGATTTTTTATAAATCTCTTTAAAAAACCATTAGATAAACCTTCAGACCAATATTGTTTATCTGACAACTATTACGCTTCAATAATTATAATACGTTCTCTTATGTATGATCATCTAATGACAATAAAATTACAAGCATTAATCAGAAAATTGTTTAAAAAAAAATAAACTATAAAATAATTATGTTTGTTTCCAAAAGGTTGCCAACGATATTGAAACGTAAAATCTATCAGCATTTAGTATCATTTTGCAATGAAGTTCACAGTAATCACAGTGTTTGTGTTAACGTTAATAGCTTCGGAGAACAATGGAGACATTACTACCCGTCATACTAACGTTAAATGTGAAGCATTTGACAAATTATATTTAGAGGTGGTTACATGCCGTCTGAAAGTCTTGGGACGTGGCATCATCGCCGAGAATATACACTTTAAAATCTTAAAACTTCCTATTCGCAATATTACGATCAATTTTAGCGTATATAAGAAATTGTCGGGATACCATCCGTTTCTATTCAATGTTACCTTCGACTTTTGCCACTTTTTAAGGCATCCGAACCCGTTGAGTGTTTTCCACTTATTTTACAAGGCTCTGATGCCATACACTAATTTAAACCACACTTGTCCTATCAACGTAAGTTCTGTAATAGAAGATTCTATCCTCTAATATAAACGTGATAATATCTTATTTCTATAGCACGACTTTATCTTAAAGGACTTTGTTCTGGCCGATGAAATGTACGCCAAAATTCCCTTTCCGAAGGGCAGCTACATGTTTAGTATTAGAATGGCCACCGAGGGTGTGTGGAGGGGCGTTGTTAATACATATTTTGACATTAATGTGGACAATAATCCAAATATACGGTTTTAGATTATTTGAACTTAAACTGTACTTGTGAAATTAAATAAAATCAAAATCGAAAAGGAAAAATCATTAAATAAAAGACTAAATGTATGTTTGATTTCTTCTGCAGCTAAATCGACATAGGGCAAGCAATGAAAATGGAATAAGTTGATAGAACAAATACCATACAAAAACTTTGAACAAAAGATAAGAATTTAATTCCTCACACCACAAACCTAATATATATGTATATGTAGATGAAAATTCGTTTCAAGGGGTGAAAAGTTTGTTTTTCCCCCCGGCAAACTGCAAAACGATTTTTCTAAAACGTTTGGACAGTTGGAGGCAACAGAAGTGCGTAGTACAGAACACTGACGAACACATACCAGTTTCCTCAATTAAAACTATGCAAAAAATCTGTTATTAAATCAGTGAATAAATTTGTTTAATTTATTCAATTTTCACTGGTTTCATGCATAAAGCAGAGTGCGACCTTGCTTGCCTTACTTCAGAACTCTTTTGTTTATTTTGTTGAAGAAAATCTAACTGAAATATCAAATTACACAAGAAACAAAATCAGTTCTTAATGGATCAGAAAAGTTCGATTTTTGTAAAGAAAAACATGGGAGCCACCTTGCTGAAGAGTGTAAATTTCTGGCTGTCTGTTGGCTAACATTTACAATTTCATAATGCAAAAGTTTTGCTGCGCATCAGCAACGTCCTCGTTGTCGTTGGATGCCAAAGGACAAAGAAAAGGCAACGCCGGCAGCGGAAAAGCGCTCAACTTAGCCCAGCTTAGCGACTTGCTTCGGACGGGGAGAATGTGAGAAAATGCGGTGAAATTGAGGGAGTCGGTGGGGGAAAAGCGAGCCCCAGCATGTGGCCAAAGTCATTTGCCAGAGCAAGTGAAAAATGCCGCTCAGAAACCAATGAACTCTGGGTGGGTGTGTGGGTATACGGGGTTTTTATGTGCAGGCTGGCGAGCGGAAGAAGCCAGGGCGGCCATTTTGTTAGACAACAGTCAGGGCGGCCATTTTGCAAATGGCAGCAACAGGAAGTAGTCGAGGCCCCAGAAATGCCCCCACGTCATGTGTCAAATTAAAGGCAAATGAAATGATATATGCGCCAGAGGAAATTTCCCAGGTGGCACCGCCCAAAACCATTTGATTGCTGCAATTAAATGTGCCAGAAAAATGGAATGGATGAGCAGGCCGAAGCAGCCGCTCCCAAGATTACCCATTTCATTCCTGGCTTTTGCGACGGTCATGCAAAAAACTCGTTTGTCCTCGAATAATTGAACATTCTCCGAGTTAGATGGCGGGTAAAATTCAATTGGGAGTCCGTTTGCCCAGCAATCAAGCAACTCTTTTATGGACTGACTCTTGCTAAGCCCTAAATAAATACCACACACATAGCCGGACCTTTGGACGTGCACAGTGGAACCTTAATATGGCGAACTTCTTTCAAAAAGAATGTATTGTACTTAAATGGAACAAATTGATTGTAAATATAAAACATACCTAAAAAAGTTACCTTAAACGAATATTAAATAGTTATAAAGAACTAATAAGTAAAAGTAACTATTTTAACTGTATATGAAAATCACAATATAAAAACCTGAGGCTGTTTTATCTTAGGACATCAAATTAGAGATATAATTTTTATCTCCTGGGCTGTAATTACCTTACTTCAATTAAAATTTCTTTTACCTTTTTAGTTAGCAATTCCATTTTTTACTCAACTTGAAATCCCTGCAGTACTGGTTCATGTTAGTGTCGCTCCACTGTATGTGGCGCGTGCCTGGGCCAAGTTATTGACCGATAGTTGTGCCTGCTAACTGGCGACGCTTTGACGACCGGTCAGTCGTCGTCGGTTGCTTTAATTAAAACATCACATATAGACACTGAAAGGCACACACATCCACGGAGACAACCTGAGACATGGTCTAACCGTGGAGTAAGCCGCTTAAGTTGCCCTTTCCGCCGGCTGCCATGTTTCGTAATTATGCTAAAGCCCCCTGATCCAACCTTTTCCCTCCATGGCAATCTTATCACAACCGATCGGCGATGAATGGCGGGAAATTGATTTATAATTTCCAATGGCAGCCGTGCTCTTTGACACACATCGATAAGTTATCAATATGGCGGCAGTTACAGCTTTCATACCATCCCGAGTTATGTGTGGTCTCCATAGCTATGCTATTTCATATCTTATCGGACATGTAATCGAACACCGTTTATCGATTTCCATGTAACCAATGGTTGGGGAGAGCGTTAACATACAAGAATCGAGGTTATGCTGCCCATATTACATTTATTTCCAATTAAATTTATGTATGTGTATCAATTTCTAATTGACTTATTTCTCTCTTTTGTTTGCAGGTATGAAATGGAATATGCTTCTTAATAGGAATACAAATTCAAGAGGTAAAATGAGATGATAAGAGGGAAATATTTGGATGGCTTTCTTAGACTTTGCTTTTAAAACCAGGAAACTTATAGCTGAATTAAACCTTTGGTAATCTGCAAGCAAAGTGAACTTGATCCTGCTAGTTAAATACATATATTTTCCAAACGATTTTCCATATAATCTCCACTCAAGAGCAGCTGCTAAGCCATCATCGAAGGGATCCATTCAGGCACGAACTCATTGAAACTGACGCGTCATAAACTGCTGAAGGCTTAGCTCTGCGCTCTCTATTCAATGATTTTCATTTGTTGCATTCGGTGCCTTGGAAAACCCCAGGTTAGGGAAAACAAAAGCACGCGATGAAAGGAAAATGAGAAAGGAGAGATGGAAAGATCTCAATAAGCTGCTGCACATTGATTGAAATCGAAGACGGTAACGAGTAAACCTGAATTCATGAAGGCCATAATAAAGATGATGATGATGATATAACTTGGGCCAACTCCCAGCAGCATTTAAGGCGAAATGCATTTGAAATCACTTTTGCGGATGGAATTCGTACTTCACAACTTGAGTTTAGCTAGTTACGCAGTCGAGAACAACAAAAGCAACAGATAAAATTGAATAAAACATGAAGTTTTTGAGGAGGAGAGAAGACGGCTGCATTCCAGGAAATGCCATAAGAAGTCTGCGTGCTTACCTCTTGGCTTGATAAAACTTTAATTAACTTGAGGAATGGATCAAGTCGCCTGCTCCTTGTTTGCCCTCCAAAGTAAACAAAAGTCAAGCCAAGATTTTGCTTGCCAAACGATGGAAAAAATCTGCGTTTATTACTTGGCTTAAGCATTATTATAGCCAGAGGCAAATTAGCTGCAAAGTCGGCGGAAACCAGCAGGAAAAGGGGAATTTCTTTGCCCATTTCTGGGGAATCTGCAACAGAGTTGCTTGTCATCGTCACTGGTTTTTTGTATGCAGAGCAAGTCTTTTGTGAGGAGGCATTCGGTGCCTACGGCATTCTTTCTCTAAGGAGCATGAACAATATAGAATAGTTTATTTTTAATGCGGCCATATCTAGACATCTACATATCCTACTTTGTGGCGGCGCTTCACACGCAAACTGAAAAAAGTCTGAAAGAAAAAGAAATCTCTTCTGCATAATAAAATTTGTTGTCCCGAAATGAAGTGGCGCAAGCCCTTAGATGATTATCGGATTGCTGCAGACAGCTTTATGGCGCACACACATGTATATCCCCCTGTAATTTGAGTACTTCATTTCCAGGACAAAAGAAGGATATCTCCTGTCTGTTGCTTTCTTTAGTTTTGCGCAGAGTTTCATGGGCAAAAACTGGGAATCTATTGTGTACGGCATGTTTACAACCTTCAAGGGGGAAAAACTACTCTACTCCGTGCTCCGAGTTCTATGTTTTATTTACAGATGGAGAAGGCGTACTCTCAGGGGTTATGGTTTGGTTCGGAACAAGCCCATAAATTAGCAGCCAAACCGCAATAGCTCAATGACAAAGCAAAGCGACAGCCAGAAGTTGCACTTGCTGGAGGAGGGGATAAAATGGGGTTGGACTTACATAAGTCCTCCTCGCCCATGGCCATTAGGTGTTTGATGGCTGCTTGTAATTAGCATAATTGAAATGTAGCCACAGAAACCGGAGTGGGAAGTAAAGTCATCAATTTGATTGCCTTTTCCCTGGCCATTGAACTGAACTGGCAAATGTCAAACGCTATGCAGATAAAAAATAGAATCAAAATCAAAGCTGCTTCCCCCGCCCAAAATCTCCATTGATGTTTTCACTTGATGCGACAATTTCCATGAACCTGCCAGACAGGCCCGACTAAATTTAGACCAGTTGGGGGGTAAAGTGTGTGGTGTTGCCACGCCCCGAGCCAAATTGGAGCAGAGAGTGGGGGCGAGGTTGGGTTTCGGGGGTGGTGGAGGCTTCTAACGTAGCACCTAATGGCCGGACAGACGTTTATAATTATATTTGTGCAGCATTTCGGACGCACGACGGTTGTCTGGGAATTGGGAAGCATTCAGGATGTGGCAATGCGGCTTTGAGTTTATCCTGTCGCTTTTGAATTTGAATCTCTGTAGCTCTTCAAAGTCACGGCCCTCGTTTTCCCTCCGTCTGTCATTACTTTTCCTCGCGGCCACTCAACATAAAAGGTTTTTCAGCCCCTGAGCAGCTTTTCACTTAATTTTTTTTCCATCTCTTTTTGGTCTGGCCATTTTGTGGCTTAGTTAGTGAGGAAAGAAAAAGTGTCGCATAAGGTGTTAATCAAAGCGATGAAAGTGACAATCAATTGAGCGGAAAACCTTGGTCAGATGGGAATTGCTTTAAAGAGAAAATATTTAATTGGGCGCGAACAAATATTAAAAAGTATTTCGGGTATACCATACTAAAAAGTGGTTTACCCAAATAAAGATTTTCAACTCAAAAAATCATTGAACTCATTGAATTATATTTAATCAGTTTTATGGGGGGCTAAGGAAACTTCTTAAGTTTGGCAGATGTTTCTGAGTAGAATTGCTCTTAAAAAGTTTAAATGACAGTTTTGTAAGTCACTATATCTAATTTTAGAAAAGGCGATCAATATGCGTTCCGCGTCAGTTTTTTGACAGTTCTCAATTCAGGGGTGCTCACTGAAGCCATTTTAAAGGTTCAAACTTTGTTTTTTTTCTATCTTCAATGTGGCCTTTATATAAACCGGATAAGGAGATAGACTTCTTAACCTTATAAATGCTTTTAAAAACTTTAGTTTCATTATTATTCTGAGTTCTA